GATCTCAGAGACCAGGAAAGAGAGCAATTCCAGGCTTCTCTTGACAAACAGCTCCAGGGGAGGAAATATGTGAAGCTGTGACAGAACAATGAAACGAAGACCACCAAGGAGTAAAACAAAACAAAACAAACCCCCACAAAAACCACCAAAACCCAAAACAAAAACCAAAACCCAAAACTCCAATCAGAATGAGAACAGCCAGTGTCTGTGAAAGTCACACTGCAGCAAGCTCTGAAGAGCCAAGGTGAAGCTGCCAGAACTCAGCTGGGGGTCTCCCATTAGGAAATTACACTCTAGACTGAGCAACATCCCCATCCCTCAGGTGACTTCAATAGGGAGTCACAACACCTAAAGAGCGCTGAAAAGACTAGAGATTGAGTAGCTCTCTTCTTTCTCCCTCCCTCAAGCATTGTTGTTCTGGGTCAACAGAGCCAAGGGCAACTGGCACAGAAGACATTGTTCTCAAGGCAAGATGACAGCAGGAGGAAGAAATAGGATGTGAGAAGCAGAGAGATGATGTGCCCTTAGGCTAAGAGAGATGTTGTGGGGGCCAACATGGCCCTTGAAGAGCTCCTGTTCAGATTCCACCTCTGCTGCAGAAGGTCCTACAAGTCCCTTAGCCCCAGCTTCCATGAAGTACCATCTGCAAGATGGAAAAATTACTTGCTAAGAACAAGCAAAGGCGGATATTTTCCATCAAGAATTGGATATGAGATAGGAAAAGAAGGACTGAAAATGCATGGGGAGAGAGTGATCCCATCATGGATGGTGTCAAGAATAGGAATGTCTTCCTGCTATTAGCAGATAATCTGCTATCACACTGCTGGCTTTATACAGGCAGATGAGACAACAACTGCAGGCAGTTGCCACCTGAACATCACAGATCCCGTAATTATTAAAAGCAGAGCACAGCCTTCAGTGGGGTAGGGATCTGTGTAAGCACCACCAGAAAGCAGTTGCTGCCTACAGAACAGAAATGCAATGTTTTCCCTGCTGTCAGCACCTGCGTCAGGCTCCTGGTTTCTCTTGAGATACAGCTCTTAATTGGGATAGATTGTACATTTTCTGCTGTAGCCCAGCCCAGCTCCCAGTTTAATTGCTAGTTTATGACTTAGCCTGTTTTGTGCTTTCCACACTACTTCTTTCCCCATTTAATCTAATAGAATTATAGAAAGTATTGCTGGGAGGACCTCAGGAGGCCACATGGTTTATCCTTCTGCCCCAAGGCAGTATTTCATTTTCAACAACATCATGTGTCTTTTGCTATCAGGTCAGATCGGTCCAAGATGTATAGTGGGTAAAGAAATGAAGCTTACCCAGGGGAATCAATTGGCATAAAAGACTAAATCCAGCCCTTTAAGTCACTGAAGTTATATCAGAAATAACCCTGGTCCAAATGGTGTCATTTATCAGATCAGTTTTCTGAAAGACATCCTTTCTTAAGTTTTAAGTCTCTAAAATGAACAAATCTCTAGAAGAAACTGTTCCGACAGCCCCATTTCAGTATATTTAATACTTTATTATGAACAGCAGTGACCACTCCATTGTTAAGACTGAACAAATCTTATCACAGTATGATCAGCTTTGAAACTCCTATTAACTCCCACAATAAAATCTGATCTTTTTGGAATTTTACATCCTGCATTTCACTCCACAGTAGAATATGTCTGGCAAGACAAAACAAAACCATTAAAGGATCTTTAATATGACAACTTTACACAAACAAATTTCCAGTAAAATTTCAGAATGTCAGTCAGCTTCTTAAGGTTCTTTCTTCCAAGACAATTTGACTAAAAATTCCACATTTGTTTTCTTTCATCTGCTAATCTCTCTAAGGAGAAATGTCTTGCAGCCTTGGGAATAGATATTGCAGAAATTAGAGGGATCAAAAAAAAAATCAGCTGGTGATGTATCAAGCTAAGTAAAGCAGGGCACAAGTATAACAGGGATTCTGTGCAGCAGAACCATGAGGACCAAAGGAAAGGTAAGAAGGGGGAAAGAATGTTTTTGTCTAATCCAATAAGCAAGCAGGAAAAAAAATGACTATGTATCTCTTAAAAACTGCTAAAGGCCTGTTTGCTCCCTCCCCTTTCTTTTGAAATTTCAGTTCTGGTTGAGCCAGAACTGGGTCTCTTCTGGGTTGTAAACACCCATGCTGAGCACCTGCAGCACTGCACAGCTGGACAAAGTATGGGAGCTGTAGGAAGACAACAAGCCTTCTGGCCAGCAGACAGGCTTTCTGCCTTCCTCCCACTGTTCTCCACGGTGTCTGTAATTCAGAGGGATGCTAAGGCTGTAAGCAGCAAACATGCATCCTCACCCTACAGATGTGACCGCAACAGTTACTGAAAACAGTAAGAAGAACTTAATAATGGCTTCAGACTCTTACTCATCCTGCTTGTCCAGCTCAACTACTCTCTTCTCTAAACTCCTTCACATAGATTGTCCACAGCCTTCCCATATCTGGCTCCCATGTTCTCTACCCACTCTTCACTACTAGCCTCTACAACCGAGGTCACAAATAAGCTAACAAAACAGCAACAAGCATCAGCTGCATCATGCTGGGATTATATAGCACATTAGCCAGGAAGGACAACATATTATGCTTTTAAAATGCATTCAGAAGGACTGGGATGGTTATCGTCAAACAGACCATTTTGAAGGACATTAAGTTTTGTCTACGCTAGTGTTTGAAATAGTTCTGTAAAAACCAAGTTGGGCAACATGCTTTAGATACGACCTCTTTTCTAATTCTAGTCATGGCCCATAGAAAGAGGGAAAGGGGCAGTGGGTGAATCCCTACTGCTAGCTAATTAGATCTCAGGCAATATATCTTTCCCTGCATGGAATGCATTTTTCTTCGCTAACTTCTCAAAAGCAGCTTCGCTATAAATCACAAATCACCACTGCAAGCATTCCCTTAATGAGATCCTCCAGCTTTTGCATTCATTTAATAAAAGAACATTCACCAATCTTCATCTTACTGGTGCATTTAGACTGTTTATTTGAGGTTATGGGAGGTCCTTCTGGTGCAGAGAGATTGAATTCCCTGGTTAAAGATTGCACAGGATTCACTTTATCACCCATTCCCAAGGCGTTCCTTGGTGTCCTTACAGGTGGCATGCACACCTGGCATGCTGTTTTCAATATGAAAAAATATCTGTCTGGTGTTGTGATCACATCACCAATGTGAGCTAACAAAGGAAAACAAACATTCTTTAACTAGATCAGCACAGCATCCAAAATAACTTTTATTCTTAATAGTCAGAAGTACTGGTACCTGCAGGCAAGACTCTACTCAGTCCATGTAAATTAACAGACACTCCCTAGGATTAACAAGACAACTTATGTAAGATAAGAATGCCAGTAATGCTAATCCAATTCAAAAGAGTCTTCTAGCTACCCTAAGCCCATGGAGGAGTCCTTCCTTCTTTGGAGGAAGCAAGAGCTTTCCCAGTTGGTTCTGTCATTTTTTGAGGTGGCTTCTAGCAAAAGAACCTCTTAATTTTCTTTTACTGTGGGCTGAGCTCCTACTTAACCTTTTTAGCTGGTATTCATGTTTCCTAGCTAATTCCCAACATCAACATAATGTTGCCAGTGAAATGAGCCCAGCTGCTTTTCCAGATTCTTGAAGTGCTTCATAAACTCAGCTACAACATCTGCAGCCATATTTCTTATGTTCAATCCAATGCACTGGGCATAAAAATGGTTATAAAATGCATCTATAAAAGTCTTGAAACACAGATTCCTGAAAAGACTGCCTGAAAAATCACTCAGTGCTTACTCTACAAATTCCAGCTTCCCTTGCCCAAGGGAGGCTAACATAATCTGGGAGAAGAGAAAGGTTACAGTTTTGAACTCCTTGGTGTTAGGCTCAGTTTCAAGGCAGTACCTTCCGACGGAGGCTTTCACATGCTGCATTAGCAAACAGACTCTTACACACGCAGCATCAGTACTCAACACAAAAGAGTTCTCTCAAGGCTTTTGCCCTTTCTGATACGGAACTTCCAGCCAGACATGGCTGTGTCAGAATAACTTAGCCAGGTTGTCTTTCATTTCCTCAGTTCTGTTTCCACTATTGACATCAGAATCATGGTCTTCAACCCCAAATTCAAGGACAAGCAGGAAAAGTTTAGCAACAAAGAGGACTCTGATTCTAGTAAGGGATTGAGAGCTGAACCTAATGAGAACCTGGTATTGCCAGGTTCAGCTAACAAAGAAAAAGACAACACAAAACCACATAAGATGACAGAGACATGAAGAAGAATTTATTTTTTTTTTAAATTTTGGACTCGTCTTTAGAATAAAAGAGGTAATCTTTCTATGTGACCCCATTTTGCAGATAAGTCAATTTGGATGCGCTAGCAGGAAGTCCTGCTCGCTTCAGGAGAGGTAGCTTCTTGAGAAATCTTGTGACCCGGGACCAGCAGAGGGCACTCCACTACCAACTGACAGCAGTACAAATGCAAGACAGTTCCTACCAGGCAGCGAGACACAATGAAGAAAAGAACCAGATCCTAGAAGTCATAAACATGTATTTGTCATCAGCATATCAGTCCTACAACAGATAAGGGTAATACTATTAAAATAGGCCTCAAACTCTGGGTACTCCTAGAAACACACTTAAATCCAGCTTGGTCCCCACACATCTCATCCTCTGTGTGTTGATTTTAGGGCATAGGCCTCTCACTGAAAATGCTTTTCAAGTGGCAGGGCCAAATCAGTCCTGCCTTGCAACATATGCCTCAAGGCTGGGTTGCTTAAGTTGAAAAACATCCTGTCAGCTTCCTCTCTCCTTCTCCGAACCTCTAAATCCTTGCTTGTAGCAGCAGGAAGTCTGCTCAGACAAGAAACAAGACAATATCAAAGCAAAGAGCTGGCAATTTCCATTCTGCCCTCCCCTTTTACTCCCCACCTCCTCCAACCTAGCAGACTTTCAGTGAGCACAGAACCAAGTTAGAGGATATGAAAGGAATGTTGAGGTAGCAACTTCAGAAGAGTGTCTTTCCACTTGTTTATTTCTAGTTTATTTTGAATTACCAGAAAACGACCACGAAGAAGCAAATAGCTCATTTTTTTTCTTCTCTCTGTATTCCATCCTGCAGGATTCTGGGCACTAGAAGAAGCTTAGAGGATAAATAAGTCATTCCAGTCATGACCCTCAAGATACTGAGTGAAAAGTTTCCACTTTCTCTTTGTACATTTGGTAGAATGACTTTGCCAGGATGTGGAAAGGGACCTCAAAATTTTTCATCTCCTTCTGTAAAGAAATAAGAAAGTTGTGAATGACAGATGGAATAAGCATTTGACTACTTCTGCTCTAACTGCTTCACAAAAGACAGATAAAACTGAATGTTAGATGATTGAGTTAGATGACAAAGGAGTGGAAGAGAGCCCCCAGTTATCTCTATTTACCTGAAAGAGAAGATAACTTTACAAACACTCACTTCCACAGATGGTGAAAGGAGCAGATACTCACCACTGACATTTCACAGTATTCCAGGTCATGTTTCTCAGCCCACTCCTGTGCTTGTTTCTGCTCCACAACTCGACGACCAACTAGGTCTGTTTTATTCCCCACTAAGACACCTATAAAAAACCCCCATGAAAAATAGGAAAAACAACAGCCCAGAAATGCTAACTGGTTAGCAATAAATGCTGGAATATTTGTAGACGTAGCTGAACAAGTTGGAGGCATGGAGAACAGTCTAAAACTGCCTAAAAAAGGTTCCACAAAGGAAACACATTCATACCTTATCTGCTTTGTGATAAAAGTCAATGAGGTGGAGGAAGCTATGCTTGCTCCTGGGTTAAAATAAATGCTCGTGCTCTCTGCCACATCTCATTTGGAACAATTGCTGTCATACAAGAGGGGAGCAGATAACAAGAATCTCAGACATTTCTTACCTGGGATGTGCATTCCAACTGCTTGAGACCTCAGCTTCTCCAACCACTTGGCACAGTTGTTGAAAGATTGCTCATTAGTGACATCATAAACGAGGCACAGGACGTTGGGTTGCTCCCACTGCACAGCAAGAAAGGAACATTGTCAGCTCTAATGAAACTGATGTGGTCAACAGCCAGTCTGTAAACATGGCAAACACAGATGCCAAGACAAAAATAAAAAGCCTAACATACAGGAATCCTATGCCCTGGCTGAGGTTTCACATTTCAGTTGAGCTGACTAAATGGATAGCTGGCACTGGGCGAGGTGGTCTTGCTCTCTTTCCCCATTCCTGTCTGCACAGTCCTGCTCCTTTACTTGTATTAGCTCTGGCATTCACCCCATTCCCATGGGGAAGCTGATTCTTCATGCTAAATCAGCATAAAATTAATCCTAGAGAAAAAAGTAGAAAGGTTTTCTTCCAGTTTGAGAAGCTGAGCCAGCTTCTTGAGGGCTCCCTTGCAGACCAGATCTAGCACAAGGGCAAAAGCAGAATTGCCTCTTGTAGAGCAATGGACCATTATGTTGACTTAGCCATCTTATGAAACTTCACATCAATTAATTGATCCTACCTCTCAAAATGAGATAACACAATGGAGAACTGTACAGGTAAGGACATGAATGTGTGAAGGAAAAAATCATAGAATCATAGACTGGTTAGGATTGGAAGGGACCTAAAAGATCATCTAGTTCCAACCCCCCTGCCATCAGCAGGGACACCTTCCACTAGACCAGGTTGCTCAAAGCCTCATCCACCCTGGCCTTAAACACTTCCAGGGAGGGGGCAACCACAGCTTCTCTGGGCAACCTGTTCCAGTGTCTCACCACCCTCACAGTGAAAAACTTCTTCCTAATATCCAATCTAAACCTACCCTCTTTCAGTTTAAACCCATTTCCCCTCGTTTGGGCATTAAGTGCCCTTATGAAAAGTCCCTCCCCAGCTTTCTTGTAGGCCCTCTTCAGGTACTGGAAGGCCGCTGTTAGATCTCCCCGGAGCCTTCTCTTCTCCAGGCTGAACAGACCCAACTCTCTCAGCCTGTCCTCATAGGAGAGGTGCTCCAGCCCTCAGATCATCCTGGTGGCCCTCCTCTGGACTTGTTCTAACTGGTCCATGTCTTTCTTGTGTTGGGGTCTCCAGAACTGGACGCAGTACTCCAGGTGGGGCCTTACAAGAGTGGAGTAGAGGGGCAGAATCACCTCCCTCAACCTGCTGGCCACACTTCTCTTGATGCAGCCCAGGATACGGTTGGCCTACTGGGCTGCAAGCAGGACAAGTATTATGCTCAAGGCCAAGAATGAGTCCTGTTGGATCAAACACATCACTATAACACACAAAAATCCCCACTGCTGGAGTAGCAGAAAAACAGATGCTTTTCTCAGAAAAAAAAACAACTTCAACTGACAGCACACAGCGATTCTCAGTTAAACATCCCTATTCCTTTTGTAAGAAAACTGAACAACTATCGGCCTTCCTTCCTCTGGAAAGTATTTCTTCTTGTACTTTTACTAGTTTTGGAGCAGCAGAACAGGACGCATTTGCAACTGAGGTAATTGCTCCCATTTACACTAAAGACAAAGTTTGCTACATCTGCCAGACTGGGGAGTTCAAATCTTCAAAGCAAAAGCACTTATTTGGAAGAAAAGGACTGTTACATAAGACTTACCAGTTTCTCCAGCAATTCAGAAAATAGATCTTTTCCTGCAGAGTCAAAAATGAAGAATTCCTGAAAGCGGAAACAGAAAGAAGGCTCTTGCCAGGAAAAAGGCAGTGTA